CATTGAATCAGAATCAAAAGCTAAGCCTACCGAAGAAAAACTGGATGCAGAAGTAGAGGTTACCTCATCATCAGAATGAGCCATGAGGCATAGGTCTTCTGTCTCAGTATCAAGGCAACAGAAGGCCTCATCAGAATCAGAGTCAGAACTGGATTCTGTCTCAGACAGAGGGTCTTTCTCGAGCTGTTCTGTCACGAGTGCTTTCCTTCTTCTGGAATTGTCTTCATATTTCTTCTTTTCTCCATCATGCCCTTGTTTCTTGGACACTCTTAGATGTGGACACTCTGCCTTGAAATGTCCAGGTTGTCTGCAGTTGTAACAGAGAAGCTCACCACTGCTTTCTGTTGTTTTGACCTTCTGGAATGGCTTTCTGCTGAATGATGGACTTCTTCCATCTTTGGGATTCTTCATAAACTTCTTGAATCTCCTAGCAAAAGCAGCCATATATTCGTCAGATAAAAGTACTGAGAGGTCAAAGTCATTTACCTTTGATGTGCTGGCAGTGAGGGCTGTAGTGGTCCTCTCTTCTGGTACATCTTCTTTTTCTTCAATCATTTCAAACTCATGAGCTTTGAGATCTGAAATGAGCTTATCAGTGGGATAAGTCTTCACATCCTTGCTGGCTTGGACAGCAACCACCTTCATTTTCCATGCTGAGGGCAGTCCCCTCAACACCTTAAGGTTGATCTCCTTGGTGGTGAGTTCCTTGCCAAGCTCAGAGATCTCTCCAGTGAGAGTGAGGAGCCTGTCATACATCTTGGAGATGCTTTCACCAGGAAGAAGCTTGAAGTCATCAAACTTCTTGTTGGCTATTGTCATCTTGTTGTCCTTCTCTTGCTCATCACCAGCTCCAATGAGCTCAAGAGTATCCCAGATTTCCTTTGCAGTCTTGCACTTCTTTATTCTTTTGAAGTACCTATCATCGATGGACTTATAAAGAATGTCCTTAGCAATGTTGTCCAGATTGTACTTCCTTCTTTCTTCAGTAGTCCACTCAGATTTGGCCTTATTGATCATCTGAGGTCTGGTGTTATCAATAGCATGTTCAGGGTTGACCTTCTGGAAGCTTGTGAAGGGCCCAATGTCAAGTACTTCCCACATCTCATCATGCAGAGCACAAAGATGTGCCTTCATCCAGATCCTCCAGTCGTCAAACTTGAGATCTGAGAACATAAGATTCTTGGAAAGAGAGTGATCCATTATATCGGATTAAAAATGAGTAAAAACAGAAAAACAAGTGGATCTTTGTTCAGCAAATAACCTAAGAGATTATTAGAACAAGGAGACTCTGATACCACTTGTTGGTCCCGGTTGTACTGGATACAGTCTAGAGGGAGGGTGAATAGACTGTATTGGTTTTTAACTTTTTCAGTTAAGTACCATATTTAACAGAATAGCCTGTTCTGTTCGCAGAACAGGCTGGCAGCGGATGGGGTTCTGGTAGGGAGTTCTGTTAGTAGCCTCAGAGAAGCAAAGGCAGTAGGCCTTCTGTTAACTCACAAGACAAGTTCTGCTGAACACAGATACCAAGTCTTTGGAGTTAAGCAGTTCAAATAAAAGTAATGAATGTAATGCAGTAAGTAAGTGACACCAGGGCTTTTTATAGTGGTTCAAGGAACAACTTGTTCCTTTAGTCCACTGTTCCACTAAGCTTGTAAAAACGTCTGTTTACAATGCCTTAGCCCTATCACTTAAGAAACTCTACACGTCTTCTTCAAGTGTAGGTGTCTTCTTGGATGCACTTCCGGCTTCCCTAAAAATGGTCCTTTCACTGAGCTTTCCCAGAAGTATCACCACTTCACTGCTCCAGGTACTTGGACGTCCTTCTTGTGAAAGAAGAGGTTCTATATAGAACAGAGGTTCCTCCAACTTGCTTCGTTACAAAGAATTTGTATGTGATGAGCTTGAAGAGTTGAAGAACACTTAGAACTTTGCTTGAGTTGGAAATAAGGATTTTTCCAACTTCTGCCTTCTCTTGTAGAGGATGATGAAGATTTAATCTCAAGGAGGCTTTTTGCGTTTTTAGCGTTTGAATGTCGTGTATGTGCAGAGTTGTAGCAAAAGTTATAACAAAGTTATTCGGTTGTTCTTCGTAGTGTATCTTTTATACTGAGGTTGTCTTCCCGTTGGAGGAGAAGGAGGACAACTGCATTAAATGAGCGGGCAGTTGACTTGACCAGTAGGACCCAGTAAAGTTGGCGGGTTACTATTTTGGGATAAAGTAATCCTGACATTGCAGCCAATCATCTGCATTTACTCTACAAAGTACGGGAGGCAATAAATGTGCATTTAATGCGCATACTGTAGCTTTTTCCGTTCAAGACTCCTAGCCGTTGAAGGAATCTTTCAGTTGGTTTCCCGGCTTGGTGAAATTCTCCTAAGTGTCAGGCCTTCTGGTGTCTTAGCAGAGAGTTGAACAGAGAAGGTCTTGAGCACTTCTGTTGAAGAGATATCCAACAGAGAACCAAGAGGGTTTCTGTCAGAGTAAATGCTAACAGAGACCCTGAGGTCTTCTGTTCTAAAACAGAGAACCAAAGGCCTTCTGTTCAACCAAAGCCTTAAAAAGGGTCTTCTGTCAGGGGGTCTTCTGTTCTGGAGGATTTCTGCTTTGGAGGCCTTCTGCTCTTGAGGCCTTCTGCTAGTCGATTATACTAAAGAGATTTACAAAGGAAAATTATAATACATTAAGTCTAAAGAGGGGTACTCTAAAGTCCTAATTAATCTAGCATCATCAAAATCTAATTACAAATATTCCTTACAGGAGAGTACAATGTTTGGAAGAATAGGTTCCTTAACTTTCTCGAAAGCAAAGATCAATCTTCTGGTTTACTGGATTCTATCACTAATGGACCTGCTCAGTTACTGATTGCTATTGAGAGAAATGAAGTTAACAACCCAGCTATGGAAGTTGAGCTGCGACCAAAAACCGTGGATGAATATGACGACGAAGACAGAGCTAGACTGCGTGCTGACTTGCTGGCTAAGACCTATCTTCTTCAAGCTATACCCAATGACATCTATATGCAGATTGATAGCATGTCAACTGCAAAAGAGATGTGGGACGAAATTTTCAAGATCATTCAAGGAACTGAGATAGGCGTCAAAGCCAAGAAAGCAAGCACCTTGACTGCTTATGATTCCTTCAAAGCTAAACTCGGAGAATCACTTGAAGATACTTACCTCAGATTTCTTCAGCTAATTAACGAAATGGGGAAGATTGGAGTTCACAAGTCAAACATGGAACTAAACGTGAGATTTTTGTCAGCTCTAGGACCTGATTGGAAGAAACTATGCTCTCAGATAAGACACACCAAAGATCTGGATGATATGGACATTCATGCTGTGTACAATACCCTTGATCAGTATGCTGAATATTTTTCTGACTATGTACATACTACCATGATGGACGAAAAGGGAAAAGATGCAGTTGAAAAGCTGGTGGATACACTTGCACTTATGCTTGACAAACCTTCCAAATCCAGATCTAAGAAAGATAAAATGAAGATTGAAGAATGTGAGAGTGCTAATAGTGATATCGGGTTCTGGGATGAGACTGAAAGTGATTATGAGCTGCGTGACTTTCAAAAGTAGATAGCACTTCTTACTTCAAGGTTCAACAATCAGATACTGAAAAAGAAGAACTCCTCAAATAACAAGCTCCGCAAAACTTCAACCAACAACAACAAGAGAAAAGAACGTTCATTTGAATCTTCTGAGACTGGAAATGCTGGAGATGCTCCAAAGTGCTTCAACTGTGGGAAGACTAAACATCTAATGAAGGATTGCAGGATGCCCAAAAGGAGGAAAGACGTTGAATATTACAAGCAGAAAATCAATCTGAACAAGAAGAGAATGCTACTGGCAATGGAAGAAGGCAGTGACAAAAACGCTCTCATGGCAGAGAAGGACCATTGGATGGATGCCTCTGATGATGAGGAAAATCTGGCTTTAATGGCTATTGTTGAAAATGAAGAAGAGAAGACTACCGTTGCTGATGAGGATGCAGAAAAGACAAATTCTTATGTTGCTGATTCTGTGATTTCTCTCACTGCTGAAAATGTGGACGCAAACCGCGATGTAAGTACCCCTAATCCTTTTGTTTATTCTTGCTCTAGAACTGACACACACGATAAAATTAAGGAGCTAGAAGAAAAATTTGATAGAGCCTATGGTATCTATAACAAATTGAGAGAAAAGCAGATCTGCTCTAACATTAAAATAATCAATTCATAGAAAATAATTGCTAAGCTCACAGCCGAGAACAAAAGATTGAGTGATAGTGAAAAGGAACTTAAGGAGAAACTCAGAGTCTCTGAAAAGGAAAGAATCGAGTTTTTTGGTGAAAACAATTTACTCAAAGAAAGAAGGGGTGCTCTTTATTCCAAAATAAAAGAACTCGAAGACCTCTTAGCTAAGAGAGGTTAAACCGACCAGACCATTTTCCTTATCCAGCCTAAGGACACTCGTTTCTACAACTCCAAGGAGGGTCTTGGATTGACTAATCCTCAGAACCTGAAAAAGGTTGATTGTATTCAACTCTATGATATGAAATACATGAGATTAGGATTGACCAAACTTATGGCCTTCACTGGAACTGAAGAAACGAATGCCCTCGAGGATGAAAAGAGAAAGAACAAGTCTGGTGCCGAGATCCCTTTTAACTATACAGAGTTAAACAAAAGTTACCAAACCAAAGAACCCCTTTGACCCCCGTTGATGAAATCTTGACTTATCCTCCTGAGAAGGAAACTGTAGGAGAGAGAGAGAGGAACCTTCTACCTCAGAACCTGTAGTCAAACCAGCATACATTCCACCTCTTGTGAAAAAGTTTGTTGAGCTAAAAGAAGCTTTTGATAAAGAAAAACATGTTCTTGAACAAGAAAAGGAACAACTTCTCAAAGAAATATCATATTTGAAAACACCCTCTCTATCTCACACAGTTTCTCAAACCTCTTCACCTTCTTCCTCGGAAAAATCTTTTGAAAACTCCATCGATAGTAGTAAGACTTCTCCCGCTCACTCTGAGTCTCCTTCTCCAACGGGGAACCAAGTGAAGAAGAGAGTCGAGAAAAGAGGCAAGTGGATAGAAGAAAAAATAAGAAGAAGGAAGAGAGAAGAAGAGTCAAGAGTGGTGAATAAGAATCAGCGAGCGAGTGCACTTTTCTATGTCAAAAATAAGTCTAGATTGAGCATTAGAGAGACGTTTGCTAATCATTCTAGTAGTGTTGTTCCTAGGACTTCCCTTTGTGAACCCTCAACTAGTTATGATAGTAGACCTGCCTCTAAGTTTTCTGTTTCCAAGATACCTGTCACTAATCGCTGTTCTAGTTGTGTTTCTCTGAATTGTGTTAAGTTAATGAAATGTTGCTGTTTTGAGTCCACTTCCACTGATAATGAAACTGATCCTGTGAGTGCTAAGAAAAAATTGAATAAGCCTAAGGCTGAAAAAACAACTGTTGAGGGGAAATTCAAACTTTTATTCTTAAAGTATCCCCTCAAGGTTAATTCAGCTAAACATCTGAAAAGGCTCTCACAGGAACTAATTTTGAAGGATCATATATCTGAAATCTCTCTTGCTCCAAAAATAAAACAAATATGGGTTCCCAAGGCTAAGGCTGATCAATTAAAATTGAAAAATGATTCTCAAACAATCAGCTTGGGATCTCAAATTCAAAGGAAATTGAAACAACTGCTCATTGTTGATATGGAAGGACCCATCTTCTGATGGGTACCTAAGCGAAACTAATCTGTTTTGCAGGTCAGTCATGTGTGGCATCTTGATTCTGGTTGCTCGTCACACATGACTGGACAAAAGGAACTTTTGAGCAACTATTCTGAAAGATATGGAGGAAATGTGAGGTTTGGAAACAACGCTTCATCGCCAATTCTCAGAATAGGAGATGTCATTTGTGAGTGTCACGATAAAAAACGTGTCGTTTGTACAAGGACTGAAGCACAACTTGCTTAGCATTGGCCAATTTTGTGACAATGGAATGGAAGCGAGATTCCATGCTAAGCAATGTTGTGTGATGGATATGAGCGGGAAACCATTATTAAGGTGTCAGAGGAAAACAAATATCTACACCATTGATCTTAAAACAGTCTGATCCCCCATATCCATCTGTCTCTTGCCCAAAGCATCTCAGGAACAAAACAATCTATGGCACAGACGTCTCTCACACTTGAATCTGCCTGCTATCTGTTCCCTCTCCTCAAAGAAGCTTGTGAAAGGAATGCCTGTATTGAAGAACTCACCCAATCACCACTGTTCTGCTTGCCATTTGGGAAAGATGAGGAGCGCATCACACTAGTTAAAACAATTTCCCTCCTCATCTCATCCCCTGGAGCTACTGCATATGGATCTGTGTGGTCCGACGCGTGTTCAAATCATCAACGGACGCAAATATACTTTGGTAATTTTGGATGACTACTCACGCTACACATGGACCAAGTTTTTGCGATCCAAGGACGAAACTCCAAATCTTATCGTAACATTCATCAGGACCATTCAGAACTACCTGCAGCAGAACGTGAAAATAGCCAGAACTGATAATGGGACAGAGTTCAAGAACAAAGAGTTGGCCGATTTCTATGAAGCTCAGGGAATTACTCAACAGTTCTCTGCAGCTAAAACACCACAGCAGAACGGTGTAGTAGAAAGACGGATCAGGACCCTAGCAGAAGCAGCCAGAACTATGCTGATACAGTCAAAGCTTCCTCACTTCATGTGGGCTGAAGCTATCAACACGGCTTGCTTTACCCATAACAGGACCATGATCCATAAAAGATTTGATAAGACCCCCTACGAGATTGTGTTCAAGCGACTCCCAAACATCGCCTTTTTCTGAATCTTCGGTTGCAAATGTTACATTATGAATGACAGGGATGCTAGGGGGAAGCTTGATCCAAAGGCAAATGAAGTAATCTTTATTGGATATTCTAATAACTCGAAAGCCTATAGAGTATACTTGAAAGATAGAAGAACCGTCATGGAGAGCATCAATGTGAGCTTCTATGAAATGGCGGATATGGCTTCTGAGCATTTTCAATTTGAACCAACAATCTCTGAAGAAAACCAGGCTCAATCATCTTCTAGAATAGGAGAACATGAAGGTGAGAGGAGATCGGATGAGCACGTGATACTGGACTCTTTATTTGAGCACTTCTACAGCCAGCCACGTGCATCACCAGCTACAACTTCTACTACTGCTCAGCCTTACCTGTTACCTGCTCCCACAGCAGAAGAATCAGAAACTCCTGTTCAGGACGATGATGAGCACACACAAGAACAAATTCCATCTGATCCTCCTACTCCTCAAATTGAACAACCAGAGCAACCGATTGTACAAGAAACTTATGAGACGCAACAAAGCAACAAGTATATTGACCCCGATCAACCAATCATAACTCCATTACCTCTCCCTCATGAGAGAAGATGGACGAAAGCACATCCGCCAGAGCTGATAATCGGTGATCCATCAAATGGAGTCAGAACCAGAGCCGCATCAGTCAATGACTGCTTATACTCTTGTTTTCTGAGCCAGAAAGAACCTACAAAAATGGCTGAAGCATTAGCTGATCCGGACTGGATTGTTGCGATGCAAGAAGAGATAAACCAGTTTGAAAGATTAAAAGTCTGGACCCTGGTGCCGTGACCGTACAGAAAAACCATAATAGGCACCAAATGGGTATTCAAAAACAAAAAGGATGAAGATGGTGTGATAATCAGGAACAAGGCCCACCTGGTAGCAAAAGGATACAATCAACAAGAAGGAATCGACTACGGTGAAACCTTTGCACCAGTTGCGAGAATTGAAGCCATCAGACTATTTCTTGCATATGCCGCACACAAGAACTTCACTGTTTATCAAATGGATGTCAAGACTGCGTTTCTAAATGGCAATATGAAAGAAGAAGTTTTCGTTGCGCAACCTGAAGGCTTTGTGGATCCTGAACGCCCAAATCATGTATATAAGCTGAGAAAAGCCCTGTATGGACTGAAACAGGCACCGAGAGCCTGGTACGAAGCATTATCAGATTTTCTTGTGGAATTAGGCTTCTCGAAGGGAAAGATAGACCCAACTCTTTTTATCAAGCGACACAAGAATGACATCATGCTGATACAGATTTATGTCAAAAGTTCAACAATCTGATGCGCACCAAGATTGAAATGAGTATAAAGGGGGAGTTGAGCTTCTTTCTCGGGCTTCAGATCAAGCAAATGCCAGACGGAATATTCATCAACCAGTCCAAATACATCCATGACATGCTTAAGCGCTTCAAAATGGACAACAAGGCGACGATGAAAAACCCCATGTCTCCCTCACAAAAGCTTGACTCTGACCCTTACGGGAAACCAGTCGATGCTACTAATTATCGGGCTATCATTGGTTCGTTGTCTGTTACTGGACCCTGGTGCCGCGACCGTACAGAAAAACCATAATAGGCACCAAATGGGTATTCAAAAACAAAAAGGATGAAGATGGTGTGATAATCAGGAACAAGGCCCACCTGGTAGCAAAAGGATACAATCAACAAGAAGGAATCGACTACGGTGAAACCTTTGCACCAGTTGCGAGAATTGAGGCCATCAGGCTATTTCTTGCATATGCCGCACACAAGAACTTCACTGTTTATCAAATGGATGTCAAGACTGCGTTTCTAAATGGCAATATGAAAGAAGAAGTCTTCGTTGCGCAACCTGAAGGCTTTGTGGATCCTGAACGCCCAAATCATGTATATAAGCTGAGAAAAGCCCTGTATGGACTGAAACAGGCACCGAGAGCCTGGTACGAAGCATTATCAGATTTTCTTGTGGAATTAGGCTTCTCGAGGGGAAAGATAGACCCAACTCTTTTTATCAAGCGACACAAGAATGACATCATGCTGATACAAATTTATGTCAAAAGTTCAGCAATCTGATGCGCACCAAGATTGAAATGAGTATGAAGGGGGAGTTGAGCTTCTTTCTCGGGCTTCAGATCAAGAAAATGCCAGACGGAATATTCATCAACCAGTCCAAATACATCAATGACATGCTTAAGCGCTTCAAAATGGACAACAAGTCGACGATGAAACCCCCCATGTCTCCCTCACAAAAGCTCGACTCTAACCCTTACGGGAAACCAGTCGATGCTACTAATTATCGGGTTATCATTGGTTTATTGTCTTACCTTACATCTAGCAGACCGGACATTGTCTTTGCAACCTGTCTCTGTGCACGATTCCAAGCAAATCCTAAGGAGTCACATCTGAATGCAATGGAAAGAATATTGAGATATCTGAAAGGAACAGTTAATCTGGGCCTTTGGTATCCCAAGGAATCAGGTTTTGACCTAGTGGGATACTCAGATGCTGTTTTGCGGGTTGCAAACTGGACAGAAAGAGTACATCCGGTGGTGCACAATTTCTAGGTGAAAAGTTGGTATGCTGGTCTTCTAAAAAGCAGAATTGTGTGTCAACTTCTACAGCTGAGGCAGAATATGTCGCGGCTGCTAGTTGCTGTTCACAAGTACTTTTGATGAGGACACAGCTGAAAGACTACGGGTTCACATTCTCGCACATCCCGATCTATAGCGACTCTCAAAGTGCAATTGCCATCACGTGTAATCTTGTCCATCACTCACGGACGAATCATATTGACCTCAGTTATCATTTTATCAAGGATCGCATTGAGAAGGGCATCGTGGACATGTACTTTGTGTCCACGGAATGGCAACTGGCTGATATATTCACAAAGGCACTGGATGAGAAGAGATTCAATTTCCTTATCTCTAAGCTGGGGATGCTGAACCAGAACGAATAAGTAACTCTGACTTGTGTGTGTGAGTGTGATCATATTTTTTTTTTCTTTTTTAAACATTTTTTTACAAATTGCATTTTTTTATTTTTTCATGCATCACTTTTTTCTTTTTTCCATGCATCATTCCTTAGTTAAAATTTTCAATGCATAAATCAAGAGGGAGCTTTTTCAAAATCATGCATAAATTGAGGGGGGGTTTCATAATTATTCATTATCAAGAGAGCAAGGGTTGAGGGGGAGCTCTTTGAAAATTGAAAACAGATAAGTCTGGGCCTGTTAACCTTTTGTTTCCGGGCCTAGCTATTTAAACCTCAAATCACGCATCTCCTCCTCTTCACTCTATCTCTCTGCGCTAAACTCTCTAACTTCCTCTCAGTTGAAATCGCTCATCTCCCCTATTAAGCTTTCAAGGTTTTTTGCTCATCGTCTCTTTCAAAGGGTAAATACTCCTTATTCGTTTCAAAATGAATGCTTCGCAGGTACACCAATAGCGAACAGATACAACGAAGAAGACGAACAGATATTCGCGCAAAACTGATGCGCGAAAACAACCTGATGTGCGATTACCCTACTGTGAGAGTCCGGCCTGTGCGCGATTTTGGGGACGCGTGATTCCCCCTGTGCACGATTCTCACTGTGCGCAATTATGGGGTCGCGTGATTCCCTGATGCGCAATTCTCACCATGCACGAAACCAGATGCGCAATTTCCCCATGCGCGATACCGACCTCATGCGCCAAAGTTGGACTAAAGGCCCTGCGCGATTTCACCTACTCAAAAGGTCCTGCGTGATTGCCCCATGTGCAATTTGGGGCGTGTGCGAACGGATTGGGCCACATTCTAACTAAGTCTGGCCTAACTTAAAACAAAGAACATATCATTTTTCCATAACGGGCCCACATTATGAAACATATTCGCAAATGTCAAAGGGCCCAAATTTAAAAAAAAACAAAAAAAAAATCAAAAGGGCCCAAATTATCAAACCCTGATCATAATAGAAGAAAAAAGGGACCCAAATAAGAGCTTAAGTTGTCGACTTAGCTACCGTTTTGATCAAATGCTCTAACCTGTTTATCATTTTCAGATCGAAATGGCAGCTGTTCCCAAAATCAGTCAGATCTATCCAAGGGCAAACTGGTACATGATCAAAGATAACAACCCTGCACTGGACCCAGAGGTGTTCTCATGCCAAGATGATGTCGTTATTGCCATTCTGAAAGGGCACAAGCTGTGGAAAGCCCTGAGCAAATCTACTGAAGTACCAGAGGTGTATCTCCAACAATTTTGGGGAACACTAAACAAAGTCCTTGACGACGAAAATGAAGAGATAGATGACGAGCTGACCGTCACTATCATCAACAAATCCCTGCTGCACCAAGCTCTACAAATCCCGGAAGAAGATCATTATGATGAGCTGGCATCTGAACCTGAAATGATGGCCGATATAATCAAGCTAGGCCATGCTCAACCAATAAAGCTCATTTCTGATGTCAGACCAGGACGCTTACCAAGACCGTGGAGGACAATGCTAGCTATTCTCAACAGGTGTTGTACTACCAAACACACTGGCTTCGACAAGTGCAACATCTACCTTTTGACCATCTTCCATCGCATCGCTTTCATGAAGAACTACAACTACGTCTCGCTGATATGGGATGAAATTTTTGAGCGAGTCAGAAAGAGGACGAAGACGGAGGTGGTTTTCAATGATTGTACGACATATCTCCCGATCCACTCCAGCAATTCCTCGAAGATTATTAAAGGAGTGTCTACATATTGTCCGTCCAACGTCTCGAGAAAATGCCTGAGGATCGCACGCTGGTACCCATGACTATACCAGTGGCTCTTCTACAGTTAGCCAATCCAAATGATCCATCTGTCCGACGCTATTGTGAAGCGCAGAACATTATATTCCCTATGGCTCAGATAAACCCCCCTGAGCCTACCCTTGGGAGTCAACCGAGTGTGAGTGAGGGTCTTGAGAGTTCAACGCGGCCACAACGACCAGTGGCAAGTTGGCCCCATGATGATCAGACTACGTCTGCTGAGGGCCACACCCATGCTGAAGAGACTACCCATGATTCATCAAGCGTAGCCAGAACATTAGACGTTGATGATGAGGACTCTGGGAGCAAGGCTGAAACGAGCGGAAACGATCAAGGTGATGAGGATGATGATGACGCGAACGATAACTCAAGAAAAGCCAAGAAAGCCCCCGTTCAGAAAGGAAGACCCATTATCAGGCTTTCTAGGGCTACAAACAAAGAGGAGTCTCACCAGATCAAAAACACTGAAGGACAAACCATCAGTGAGACTCTCTCTAAGGTACGACATGATAACCCATCCTCATCATCCATTCTTATGCAAAGAGTGCAAACGGAAAGCGCCATTGCTGAAGACATGGCCATATTTGATAGTTGTTCCGACTTCGAAGAAATAAACCGGGCTAACCCCATAGGAGCAGACACTGATATTTTCAGTTTCCGGGTAAAAGACGCAGCATCTAGCCCAACTGCGCATGCACAAGCCCAACCTAGCCACTCTGCTACCTCCCAACAGGTAGTAGTTTCACAAATAGGGGATACTACACCCACCTCTCTGCCTCCCTACGACGCAGTTGAGGAATTATATAGTGGTCTATCGCCCCGGACCACTACCCCTCCTTCAAACACAATGAGTCTAGGTGTCACACTCCCTACATTTTCAAATTTTTCTAGTACACCTACACTTCTCACACCACTGCACTCAACAGGTTCACTTTACATGTCCACAACGATCGGAGATACGTCAATGATGATCGGAATTCCTGCTACTCAACAGATAACTCAATCATTATCTGCAAGCCACACTTCGGTAATCTTTACTGATGCTGTGACAACGGTTACTACCCCTGTAACCGAACAGCCCGAACCTACCGACCTTTCTGTCATTCTGCAGCGTTTCATGGATTCCACCATCAAAGCCTGGGTGCATGAAGCAATAACCGCTCGGGCACAAGAATTCATGACCACCCAGGCGCTTTAGATTGACACTACCCAACCACAACCTTCCACATCACACTCCCAACAACAGCTTACCCCCATACTTACCCTTCAAACCTCTGAACCATCAACCACACAACCTCAAACACCTACCACTTCAAGGGGAACCTAGGATACAGAACGTGTGTCCTCCCCTACAATGACCACACCTCATCCTAACCCTTACACCATTGTTTTCGAGGAACTCGAATCTATTATGCTATCAAGAATTCTAGCCACCGAAGAAGACAACTGAACCCCAAGACAAAAATCCCTTCTTCGTATATTTTTAGAAACCGATAGCACATGCCGTGACAGTCTTCGAAATCTCAAACGTTCACATGAGGACCCCGATGATTCGGATCCTCATGAGGGGGAGAACAAGAGGCAACGGACACTCGAGCATGGAGCATCAACAAGCCAACAACCCCCACACGAATCCCAACCGGAATCCTCGAACAACTAGCCCCCATCCACTACTCAACCCAATAGCCAAGCCACAAACCTACATATCTCTAGCATGGTCGAGCTACACAAAACATTTCGAGGCATATCTCTCAGAGATTTTGACCAAGGATGGAGTGGAAGTCCTAAGGTAGCTACTTCGTGTACACCATTTTATTCAGGCCATCAGGAAGAACCTAGTTCTATACTGATGACAACGGGCAATCCTTGTGATCCCGGCTCTACCTCCCACGAAGCAACACTGCAGAAGGCTCCCACTGAAGAACAAAGCCCGTCCATATACGATCAACTAGAAGACATCATTATAGATGAAAGATGGAACGGAGAATGGACAGAATGGGACGACATCAGACAAGAGGTCGAGCAATATGAAATGCAAAGAGGAGTCTATCTCAGAGACCTGCTGAAAAAGTGCGATGAAGATTTAATAGGGCTTGAGGAAGATGAACTCGAGGAAGGGGAGAACTACAAGAAAACTCCAGCAGAGCTACCCTCCATTGTCAGAAGAATAGGTGCGCTCTTGCCCAGAGATGAAGACCCATGGGAGAATATCAATATCACTGCCCCCTTCCAAGAGGAAATCCGAAAGAATTTATGGAGAAAGCCTGATAGGATCAAGAAACTAGATGATCTGAAAGTCCGAGGTCTTACCCATCTAAAAGCTAGACAAGTCGGGGGACATCTTCATATGCTATATCATCGATCAACAGGCTTACAGCGCCATATTCTGGAACACGATCTTAAAACAAGCAAATGCCCTATTTGGGATATTCTGAAAGTGTCCAGAGGAGATCATCATGGAATAAAGTATTCGATTTATCGATTACAAAGAACTGATGGCACAGAGTTTACCTGTAAAGAGAACGATTTCATTATGATCAAGATGGAAGACATCTATCAAATGTCTATGGTCTACAGGAACCTGTCCATCAGAAAGAATAAAGTCCTCAAAGAAGGATATGAAGCAATAAGACGTTTCATGCTGAGGCAAGTTAGAGTTCATGCCACTCACAATCTTCAGATGGCTCTCGAGAACAACATCACCCGAACAAATCTTACAAAGCCAATCTTTTATGGACCGGAGGTTGAAGAGTTTCCACCTTACACTATTTTTGAAGATCCGACCATAGTCATCTATCTCAATCATGAAGAGAAGAAACGCATTCTGTAGATAGATGACATTGCAAGATACTGTGATGGGACCCTGAAGATCATTAGAGACAAACTGCTTCCGCTAAAATCTGATATTGAACGAAGACTTACTGAAGCCTCTGAAGCTGAAATAAAATAATTCGACAGAATAACCGCGGTGCTAAAGGCAATCAATGACAGACTCAAAATGAAGAGAATGCCACGCATGTACGAGCACGCCCTAACATTGTGGAAGAACTACTTCAAAAGGTAAAGGAACTAATAAGAGCTGACAAAGACATTGGATCACAAAGGGGAGATTGTTAGATATATTTTTTATTGTGATCCATTGTATTTTATAAAGCCTAGTAGTATAATTTATTAGATAAGCTATTTTAGGTAAAGGCCACATTCCTAAAGGGAATGGGCCTCTTTATTATGGAAGCCCAATGCTTGTAACCTAGCATTCTACAAAGGGCTATAAATAGACCCTATGTAGAATGCGTAGGACAGGTTTTTTCGAACATAGAAGGCGCCTTTTCATTCATTCATCCTTGCGCATACTTAGACTAGGCTACGGAGGTTTTACGTTAACTTCTCCAACATCATTCTGTAAACTTCCTATCCATCAATGAAAGTTTCCAATACACTTATTCATATCCATCTGCATACATTATTGTAGTGTAGATCACAGGGACCAACAGTACCTCTTATTTTTTTTCAATGGAATTTATCATTTCTTGAGAAACTAAGACATGATCTGCAAGGTCTCTACCTTTCATAAAACCAGCTTGTTCATAAGAAATAATTCTCGGTAGAATAGGAGTGAGCCTGAAAGTCAGAATTCTGACGCACACCTTATTGATGAAATTTGAGAGACAGACAGGCCTGAATTCTGCAAAAGAAGAAGGTCTATCCCTCTTAGGAATGAGTACAATAAGTGCACTGCCCATAACTCTGGGAATGTGATTGCCCTGAAAAAAACTCTTGAACAGCTCTGACAACATCCTCACCAACTATATCCCAACATTTTCTGAAAAACACACCATTGTAACCATCTGGGCCAGGAGCTCCATCCTTTTTAAGGCCCCAGACAGCCTGTTTAACCTCTTCCATGTTGGGAAGCTGAAGAAGCTTGTTGTTGTCTTCAGCAGTAATTGTATTTAGTATGAATTGCATAATGTGATCAACATCCTGCACAGGTTGCTCTGAAAAAATGCCACTGAAGGAATCTGCAGTAACCTTACCAATATTATCAATGTCTGTAGAGGTATTACCATCTGAATCGTTGATATAAGTAATTTGTTGTGTTGGTCCATGTATTCTCTATGCTCTATAATTTATAGAATGATGTATGAAAATGTATCTCTAAATGATATAGAGGAAGCTTTCCATTGAAGAAGGTTTTTATAGAATGATAGAGAATGAAGTTAGCGTACAAAAACCTTTTTACGTAAATATGCTCTGCGGCTGAATATATGGGAAAGCCTCTTCCTATGCATTCTACAAAGGGCATATATATAGCCTTGTAGAATGCTAGGTCAGCTTATGATTGGGCTCCTATAAAGAGGAGGCCCATTCCTATTATGGCATGCAATCCATTTCCATTTAAGGGCTATTTGATGTCTAATTAACTCTACAAAAAGGCTTAATAAAATACATGGATCACAATTCATAAAATATCTCTAACAATCTCCCCCTTTGTGATCCAATGTCTTTGTCAGCTCTTATTGGTTCCTTTTCCTTTTGAAGTAGTTCTTCCGCAATGCCAGGGTGTGCTCATACTGGCGCAACATTCTTCTCTTTTCGAGTCTTTCATTAATTGCCTTCAGCACCACAGTTATTTTGTCGAATTCCTTTATTTCAACTTCAGAGGCATCAACAAGTCTTCGTTCAATATCAGATTTGAGCGGAAGCAAATTGTCACTAATGATCTTCAGGGTCCCGTCACAATATTTGACAATATCATCTATCCACAAAATGTGTTTCTTCTTGTTAGGAATATTTTATGGTGTCCAATCTAATTAAATATCTTTGTATTTGTGTAGTTATTAATTAAACGTGTAATACAGGCCACAAATGTGTATCAGCCCGTGGGCTTCCTTGTAACCCGTAAGTTAGCTAACTTCTCCTATAAAAGGAGGCTAACTTACGGGAACCCTAACTAATCAGATAGAGGCTTAGAGACGTAGAGGCGTAGAGATAGAGAGATTAGGGTTGTCGCTGCTCTCCTTCTCCAGGGAGAGCAGCGGTCGGTTCATACGGTATACCAGATTCGTGTATAATATCGACATATCTTTCTATCTGCTTCTTCTTAACTGCTATGGTTGTTTATTGGTTAGTATTTTGGGTTTATCAATTGGTATCAGAGCCGATGCGTTAAACAGGTTGAATCTATCTGCGATTTTTGGATCTAACGAAGAACTGGTCTGCTTTTCTTCTGTTTTTCTTTGGTGTAGAGATTTGCTCCTGTAATCTTGTTTGTGAACGAAACTTTGTAAAAATCATACTGTTGGACTCACCTTTCAAAACCGATCCAGCAGCATACCTTTTTTTTCGTTTTCTGCAATTTTTATATTTCGAAGATCTCTACATTGAGATCTCGAAATCCTTATTTTTCACTGCTGCAGAAACGTTTTTGACTTGAAACTGATATAGGAGAATCTCGACCTTCAGGGCTTTTCAGAACAGGTTTCAGATTTTAAAAAATCGAAGTTTTCATTTTGCAGGATCTCGACATTTAGGGACTCGATTTCCTCATCTCGACTTTTGAAATCTCGAGTTTTGACATCTCGAGTTTTGTCATCTCGAGTTTTGACATCTCGAGTTTTGACATCTCGAGTTTTGACATCTCGAGTTTTGTCATCTCGAGTTTTGACATCTCGAGTTTTGACATCTCGAGTTTTGTCATCTCGAGTTTTGACATCTCGAGTTTTGAAACCTCGAGTTTTTGAAATCTCGAGTTTTGAAACCTCGAGTTTTGGAATTTCGAGTTTTGGGATTTCGACATTTGGGATCTCGATGTTTTGGATCTCGACATTCTGAAGATTTCGAGATTTTCAAAATTTCTCGATGTTTTGAATTTTTCAAAGTTTGGAGTTTCTTGAATTACTGATTTCTTCTAAACTTGATATCTTTCGTATTCAGAACACTTCGAAGCTTTACATTTTTAGATATCTGAATCAATCTCTGCCTTTCAAAGTTTTTAGAAGTTTTCGATGTTCTGATGTTTTTCAAACAACAAGTTTTCGATTTTCTAATGTTTTCGAAACTCCAAAGTTTTCGATGTTCCAAACATTTTGAAATTCTGCAGATTTCGATATTCTGAGGTTTGTTTTGCAGGTGGATTTCGCCATTATTCTTCGAGGCAAACTCGAGATTAAGATCTCGAGAATTAAACCTCGAGATTGTAATCTCGAGATTTAAACCTCGAGATTGTAATCTCGAGATTTAAACCTCGAGATTGGAATCTCGAGATTTAAACTCGAGATTGTAATCTCGAGATTTAAACCTCGAGATTGAAATCTCGAGATTTAAAACTCGAGATTGTAATCTCGAGATTTAAACCTCGAGATTGGAATCTCGAGATTTAAATCTCGAGATTCGGATTTCGAGGTATTGCTTTAGAATTTTGTTTAAAATCCACCTTCTCTCGATATTCAACATCGAGAACCTCAACTTCGAAGAAATTCCTCAAAAACTCAAAATTAGAGATTTTCTGCGTCAACGCACTCTTTTGGCCATAACTTTTGACTCGGTGATCCGATTTGAGCAAAAATTTTTTTGTTGGAAAGCTAATGAAAATATCTACATTAATTCGCAGTCTATGCCCCATAACCCTTTCTCACGCGCCCTCACTCGCAGTCTTTGAGGGTCAAAACGTTAGTTTTCCGACAAACATTGTAAATCACCGATGTCCAGGTCAAAACTTAGGCAAATCTGTTCAAATTCTTTCAATGTCAACCCTGAGGTCAAAGCTTTTCTAAACTTCACTGTAGAGGTCCGAAAATCGTAGATAATTCAATCATCCTCGCGTCAACGGTCATCTTACAACAATCAACAATCAACTGCTGAAGCCTCCCCTGACTCGTCAACATTATGTGATCATCAATATGTTGAAATTCTACATGATGAGCTTAGGGAAACCGTCATGTGTGGTACATGTTCAGATTGCTCCACACACATGGCGGGTATGACAAGCTGTGAGCAATCAAACCTTGCACATTCTGAGGGGGAGTTTCAGTTTTCTCCTCCTGGCGCCTTACACCGACAAAGCAAGGAATCTCTCAAAGGATGCAACATTTTAGGGGGAGTGTTCAATGTTATCCTTCCCGATGCCTAAAAATGACAAAGCATACCGAGTGCTCCAGTTGAGGGGGAGTACAGAGAGAAAATGAAGAAAGTAATAAGAGAACATGTCCCTATGGCTTAGTAAACCCAACTAAGCCTACCCAGGGGACAAAGCCGAGCGTAAGTGAGTGAGTGAGCGAGTGAGTGAGTCAACATTATGAGCGTTAGGAAGCAGAAGGCTCAAGTGAGAAGAAAAACAATAATCAATGATGAGTCTGCTACCTCAACTGCCTATTATCCATTGAACATTTACTCCTAGCCACTCAAATACTCAAGACAATTCCCAAATTGGTTCAGGACTGATTTAATCAGATCCCGGGTAGAAGTCACTGCATCTTGTCCAACAGTGCATGTTGAACCCTATCCAAGACCACTCACTTGTCTCCCAACAGACAGGTGTTTAATCATATTTCACGGGGAACCGCATCTCTCATTACTACCTCCTTACGAGGCAAGCAATACTGACTACAGTGGCCTCAGCCCCATGCCACTGAACTTTCATTGATCACGTCGTGTCTAGTTACCTCACTCCCAAATGTTTTGAAATTTCTAGGACACAGACGCACTTTTTGAGTCAGTTGCAGGTCTTCAAAGTCCCGCGAGAACTTCCATAGGTCTCATCTATTGCAGATGTAGACTAATGATTGGAAGGAAGTCCTGCTGTTGCAACATGAGAATCACCAACATTTTCAGGCCATTGCTTTAGATTTTATCTCTATAGTGATGAAAACGGGTGTCTACACGACCCCGGGGGGATTTTATCATTTACTCTTTCTGTTTTCTTCTTGTTTTATTTCCGCAGAATAAAAGAATAAAAGCACGATGTCCCGATTCATCGGATCGTCATGAGGGCGAGAGTGGTCCACATGTTGTTAACACTGAACAAATCATTCTGGGACACTTCACTCCTCCATCACAAAAATCAACACCTTCTCTGCTATCTCTACAACTCAAATCAAATGGTCAGCTACACTCACAAATCAACAATCATTATGTTCCGTTGTGCCACCGACAAGTTCTCCTCAAATGCATTCATTCCAAATAGTCAAAAAGACTACATTGTGGAGGAGACAGAGGTCAAATACTCGTGTCCTGAAGATGAATTCCATGGGCGTCTCCTATTCTCCAAAGAATATTCATTCTAGAGGCGTCACCGGACTTCATCCAAGCTGATCAAGAGCAACTTCAGGAAGGAAAGGAGTACATGCAAGATACAAAAGGTCCCTCAACCCCCAGCATCAAAGATCAAATTGTCAAGAAGACATCAAAGGGGAGATTGCAAGGATTTCTTCAGATAGCCTTTCTCAAAAGTCAAGTTCAAAGACAAAGGAAGCTGAATAACAACAAAGACAAAGATATCTGCGCTGCAATGTTGATTCAACACGATTGAACACCAAGGGGGAGATTGTTAGGAATGTTTTATGGTGTCCAATCTAATTAAATATCTTTGTATTTGTGTAGTTATTAATTAAATGTGTAATACGGGCCACAAATGTGTATCAGCCCGGGGGCTTCCTTGTAACCCGTAAGTTAGCTAACTTCTCCTATAAAAGGAGGCTAACTTACGGGAACCCTAACTAATCATATAGAGGCTTAGAGACGTAGAGGCGTAGAGATAGAGAGATTAGGGTTGCCGCTGTTCTCCTTCTCCAGGGAGAGCAGCGGCCGGTTCATACGGTATACCAGATTCGTGTATAATATCGACATATCTTTCTATCTGCTTCTTTTTAACCGTTATGGTTGTTTGATTGTTAGTATTTTGGGTTTATCACTTCTCTTCATGATTGAGATATATTATCAAGACCGGGTCTTCAAAAATGGTGTAATGTGGAAACTTTCGAGCTCTGGTCCTATAAGATTGGCTTAGTGACATTTGTCTTGTGAATGTTGTTCTCGAAGGCCATCTGAAGATCATGAGTTGCGTGAACTTGGTCTTGCCTCATCATGAAACATCTTATTGCTTCATATCCATCTTTGAGGATTTTATTCTTTCTGATAGACAGGTTCCTGTAGGCCATGGACATTTGATAAATATCGTCCATCTTAAGTAGAAAGAAGTCATTCTCCTGACATATGAACTTTGTGATATCAGTTCTTTGCAGTCGATAGATTGGAAAGCTTATTCCGTGATGATATCCTTTGGACACTTTCAGAATATCCCAAATGGGGCATTTGCTCGTTTTCAGATCATGTTCCAGAATCTCACGTTGTTTGTCTGATGATCTGTGACTTAACATATGAAGATGTCCGCTGACTTGTCTACATTTTATATGGGTTAGACCTCGGACTTTAAGCTCATCAAGTCTTTTGATCCTATCAGGCTTTCTCCACAAATGCTTTCTGATTTCCTCTTGGAAGGGGGCGGTGATTTTGATGTTCTCCCAAGGTTTTTCATTTCTGGGCAAGAGCGCTCCTGTTCTTCTGATAACGGAGGGTAGCTCTGTTAGAGTTTTGTTATAGTCCTCCCCTTCCTTGAGTTCATCTTCCTCAAGCCCAATTATATCTTCAGCGCACTTTTTCAGCAGGTCTCTGATCTAGACTCCTCTTTGCATTTCATACTGCTCGACCTCTTGACTGATGTCGTCCCATTATGTCCATTCTCCATTCCATCTTTCATCGAGAATGATGTCTTCTAGTTGATCGTAGATGGATGGGCTTTGTTCTTCAGAGTGAGCCTTCTGCTGTATTGACCAGTGAGAGGTAGAGCCAGGATCACAAGGATTGCCCATTGTCATCAGTCTAGAACCATGTTCTTCCTGATGGCCTGAATAGAATGGTGTACTCGAAGTAGCTACCTTAGGACTTCCACTCCATCCTTGGTCAATATCTCTGAGAGATATGTCTCGGAGTGTTTTGTCTAGCTCGACCATGCTAGAAAAGTGTAGGTTTGCGGTTTGGATATTGGGTTGAGTGGAGGATGGGGACTGGTTGTTTGAGGATTCAGGTTGGGATTCTTGTGTGGGTTGTTGTCTAGTTGATGCTCCATGCTCGAGTGTCTGTTGCCTCGTGTTCTCCAATCATCGGGGTCCTCATGTGAATGTTTGTGACCACGGAGACTGTCACGACATGTGCTATCAGTTTCTAAGAATACACAAAGAAGGGCTTGTTGTCTAGGGGTTCGGTTGCCTTCTTCGGTTTCTAGAATTCTTGCTAGCATAATAGATTCAAGTTCCTCGAAATGAATAGTTGAAGGGTTAGGGTAAGGTGTGGTCGTTGTAGGGGAGGACACGCGTTCTGTATCCTGGGTTCCCCTTGATGTGATGGATGTTGGAGGTTGTGTGGTTTAGGGTTCAGATGTTTGAAGGGTAAGTATGAGGGTAAGTTATTGTTGGGAGTGTGAGGTGGATGGTTGTGGTTGAGTAGTATCATTCTGAAGCGCTTGAGTGTTCATGAATTCCTGTGCCCGAGCGGTTATTGCTTCGTGCACCCATGGGTTAATGGTGGAATCCATGAAACGCTGCAGAATAACAGAAAGGTCGGTGGGTTCGGGCTGTCCGGTTACATGGGTAGTAACCGTTCTCACAGGATCAGTAAAAATTACCGACGTGTGGCCTGCAGATAATGATTGATTTATCTATTGAGCAGCAGGACTTCCGATCATCATCGACATATCTCCGATCGTTGTTGACAGATAAAGTGGACCTATAGAGTGCAATGGTTTGAGAAGTGTAGGTGTCCTAGAAAAATTTGAAAATGTAGGGAGTGTGAGACCTAGACTCATCGTGGTTGAAGGAGGGGTAGTGGCCTGGGGCGATAGACCACTATATAATTCCTCAGCTGCGTCGTAAGGAGGCAAAGAGGTGGGTGTAGTATCCCCTATTTGTGAAACTACTACCTGTTGGGAGGCAGCAAAGTGGCTAGGTTGGTCTTGTGCATGCGCAGTTGAGCTTGATGTTGCCTCTTCTACTCGAAAACTGAAAATATCAGTTTCTGTACCTATGGGGTTAGCCCGGTTTATTTCTTCGAAGTCGGAACAGCTATCAAATATGGCCATGTCTTCAGCAATGGCGCTGTCCATTTGCACTCTTTGCATAGGAATGGGTGATGAGGAGGGGTTGTCATGACGAACCTTAGAGTGAGTCTCACTTATAGTTACTCCTTGAGTGTTCTTTATCTGGTGAGACTCCTCTTTGTTTGTAGCCGTAGAAAGCCTTATAATGAGTTGTCCTTTCTGTGTGGGGGATTTCTTGGCTTTTCTTGAGTTGTCGTTCGCGTCATCGTCATCCTCATCACCTTCATCGTTGTCACTCGTTTCAGCCTTGCTCCCAGAGTCCTCATCATCAGCGTCTATTGTTCTGGCTACGCTTGATGAATCAAGGGTAGTCTCTTCAGCACGAGTGTGGCCCTCAACACACGTAGTCTGATCATCATGGGGCAAACTTGACACTAGTCTCTGTGGCTGGGTTGAACTCTCAGGACCTTCTTTCTATCGGATGAGTCCCTGGGGCAGGCTCAGGGGGGGATTATCTAAGCCATAGGGAGTATGATGTTGTGCTCTTGGCAGTAACGTCTGACAGATTGATCATTCGGATCAGCTAACTGCAGTAGTGACACTGGTATCATGAGTGGTACCCGTGTGGGATCTTCAGGCATCTTCTTGAGGCATATGAGGGATGGAATGTAGACATTCTCCTTTGATAGTCTTCGAGGAATTTCTGGAGTAGATCAGGAGATATGTCGTACAATCAAGGAGAACCATCTCATATAAGGTAGATGTTTGATCTGGTCCGTCTTCGTCCTCTTCCTGACTAGCTCAAAATTTTTGTCCCATATCAGCGAGATGTAGTCATATTTCTTCATGTAAGCGATACCGTGGAAGATGGTCAGAAGGTAGATGTTCCACTTGTCAAAGCCAGTGTGTTTGGTAGTACAACACCTGTTTAGAATAGCTAGCATTGTCCTCAACGGTCTTGGTAGGCGTCCCGGTCTGACATCAGAAATGAGATTGATCGGTTCCGCATGGACTAGCTTTATCATATCCGCCATCATATCTGGCTCAGTTGCAATCTCATCATAGTGTTCCTTCTCTTGGATTTGTAGAGCTTGGTGCAACAGATCTTTTGTGATGAAGATTTCGGTGTTCATGACAGTGACGGTTAGCACTTCATCTATCTCTTTGTTGTTGTCATCCATGACCTTGTTTAGTGTTCCCTAAAATTGTTGGAGATACACTTCTCTTACTTGGGCAGATTCGCTTAAGGCCTTCCATAGTTTGTGGCCTTTCAGAATGACAATGACACCTTCATCTTGACATGAGAACACCTTCGGGTCCAGCTTGGGGTTGTTCTCTTTGATCGTGTACCAGTTTGCCCTATGGTAGATCTGATTGATTTTGGGAACAACGGTCATTTCGATCTGAAAATGATAAACAGATTAGAGCATTTGATCAAAAAGTTGCTAAGTTCACAGCTTAAGCTCTTATTTGGAACCTTTGTCATTTTTTTTATAATTTGGGCCATTTTTTTAAACTTTGGGCCCTTTGTTTTTTTTTTGTTTTTTTGATGAAAATTTGGTAATGAATTGTTATTTTGAGCCCAAATTAACTTTGATTGCATTCTTGAGAAATCTTGGACCTGATCTTTGAAATTTGGCCCAACTAGGTATTTCACCCATGGCCTTCTAAAAAGTGCATGAGGTCGGTATCGCGCATGGGGGAAATCGTGCATGGAGGCCGAATCATCTAGGGCTCATAAACGCGCATGAGCTCAGAATTGCGCATGAGCTCAAATGGCGCATTAGCTCAAATGGCGCATGAGCTCAAATGGCGCATGAGCTAAAAATCACGTATTAGCTTAAATGGAGCATGAGCTCGAAATTGCGCAAGGACGAAATCGCGCATCGCTCGCTCGCGCATTAACCTGCGAGAACCTATTCGTCTTCTTCGAGCAAGACCTGTACCTGTGAAGTATTCATTTTGAGAAGACAATGGAGATTTTACCCTTTGATTATGAGATGAGTGAGAGCTTTGAAAACTGAAGGGGAGATGAGCGATTTTGCTCTGAGGGGAGAGAAGTTCAATCGTTTGAGCGCAAAGGAGAATGAGGAAGGGGATACGAGATTTTGGAGTTTAAATAGGGTCGGGAAAAGTTTAAACTTCAATGGGCCCAATTTGATCTGATTTTCTGTTTTAGAATTGCTCCCCCTCAACACTTGCTCCCTTTTGACAATGAATATTTTTAGAAAACTCCCACTCAATTTATGCACAATATTTTTTAAAAAGAGCCCCCCTCAATTTATGCATTGAAAAAAATAATTTAAAAATGATGCATGTAAGAAGAAAAAAATAAGATGCATAAAAAATGTAATGTAAAAAATGCAAATTTTGAAAAATATTTAAAAGAGAAAAAAATGAGATCACACGCACACACACAGTTCAGGGTTACTTATTCATTCTGGTTCAGCATCCCTAGCTTAGAGATCAAGAAATTGAATATCTTCTCATCTAGGGCCTTTGGGAATATGTTAGCCAGTTGCAATTCCGTGGACACAAAGTACATGTCCACGGTGCCCTTCTCAACGTGATCCTTGATGAAATCATATCTGAGGTCAATATGCTTTGTCCGTGAGTGATGGATATGATTACACGTGATGGCAATTGCACTTTGAGAGT